AAGTAAAAAATAAATAAATAACTAAACAGGATAAAGAAATGAAAGTACTCACAATAGTGAAAACATAGCAATTGGAAAACATAGGAGCTGCCACCATAACTAAACCCCAACTTGGATTTCTGGCAGTTGGGGTCAGAGCAGCAGCCAGACAGATAAATAAAGGGAAAAAACAGCACAATAGCACTGTGCAGGGGATAAAGATCCTCAAAGATGCCCCTGAGCCCCAGTTGATGGTAATCTTGGGGCCAGGGAGGTCAGAGGGGAAAGAAATTATCAAAGGATATATAATAAAGCATATAACTGAAGCAAATGAAGTAAATAAATCAAATTAAGTTAAAGTGAAGTAACTATATTTATAAATATGAATATATTATAATTAAAATGTAATAACTATAATAACTATATTAACCAGAGTAATGATATGAATAAAGTAAAGTAAAAGATCCCACAGTTAAGAACCATGGGACCCAGTGTCACTTTAACTGAGGTAGCAGCAAAGAAAGAGGAAGTAGTATACTGGACACTGCCTATTATGCTTTAAAGAGGATGCTGATTGGCTGTTCCTGTTGCTAGGACGATATACCTCATGTTATTTACTGGTTTCTTTTATACTGATTTAATGTTATTTTTCTTTGCTGCTGAGGTAAATAAAGAATAGGAGCCATGTGTCTTAATAAAATCTCTCTCACTCTCTCACAAAAGCTTCTTCTTTCCACCTCTTCATTGACAGTCTGGCAGCTCCAGCCCCTGCACTAGAGCTCCGCCCCCAGCCTCTCCCTGGTGACCTTTCACACAGGAAGTGGAAGGGTTCATGAAATACTCACACTGCACTCAAAGTCCAGTTACAGTGAAGTTACAGGTAATTATTTATCCACTAAGCAGCCCATGATTGATAATGAGAGAGAGAGAGAGAGTGAGAGTGAGAGTGAGTGTATAGAGCTTGTAGTGATCTAGTGTGTGTGTCAGTGAGTTTGTAGTGAGTGTGTGTGTGTATATAGAGCTTGTAGTGAGCTTCTGTGTGTGAATTAATCCCTATGGAAAACACTGGCAAGTTTATTCATTAAACTGAAAATTGACAGGAATTTACCACAGACTTTTAATTTAAAGGAACAGTTGTGAAATTCAGGCAATCCACTGTTTAATTCAGGGCTGCCTAAAATTTAAATCCCCAGATGTTGTAGAACTACAACTTCCATTATGCTTTTCATGCCTTTAGAATGAAAAGGCATCATGGGAGTTGTAGTTCTACAATGTCTGGGGAGCTACCTATTGGGCAGCCCTGGTTTAAATAATTAAACTTTGTGGAGTATATACACTAAGCACCAGTTTATAGTAAACCGTAAACTGAAATTCTAAATTGATGAAACGGTTCAAATACCACAACTACTACAGCATGCCACCATGCAGATGGAGGACAGCACTGATACTCTCAGCTTATGACTCCAGTCATAGTTTGTGCAAGCAGTGAAATATGGCTTTTCCTGCTGTAGAATACCAGATGTAACAGTTGTGGGATGGGCACCCAGTAAAACCTAGATAAATGTCAATCCATGCTAAAAAAGTTTGACACCTTTGTGATGAATGGCAACAGGGCTCTCCTGGCACCATAACCACTACATAGGTGTGTAGTGGTTAAAAAGCATTTGTTTATGATATTAGATGATGTAGACAATTTATCCAATTTAGCAATAGTCCCTGTGGGCTGTAGTGGTTAGGATGCTTGGAGTGTTCCTTTAAGACACTAATAGATGTAGAAAAACCTAAAAAGTTAATAATGCTTTTCTAATCACCTGCTGGATGTATGCTACCTTTGATATAAATATTAAGGGGCTTATTAAATAAAAAGTGAGTTGTGCTGATGAATTGTCTTTCAATATTTAGGACAAATATCCAAGTTGTAAAAAAAAAAAAAAATCTTTTTATTAGAAGAATTGGAATTTTTTTCCCAACTTTGCTATTGTGGTCTTAAAGATGGTTCTCAAATCACCAATAAACACCTTAGTGAATAGTCCCTAATAGTGTCGGTGAGCTTGTAGTGAGCATGTCTACTGTACTTGAGTGTGTGTCAGTGAGCTTATAGTGACATTGTGTAGGTCAGTGAGCATGTAGTGAGCATGTCTGTAGTGAGGTTGTGTGTCAGTGAGCTTGTAGTGAGCATGTGTGTGTCAGTGAGTCTGTAGTGAGTTTATGTGTGTGAGCCTGTGTGTGTTTTAGTGAGCTTGTAATGAGCATGTCGGTAATGAGCTTGTGTGTCAATGAGTTTGTAGTGAGTTCCTGTGTGTGTGTCAGTGAACATGTCTGTAGTGAGCTTGTGTTTCAGTAAGTTTATAGTGAGCTTATGTGTGTGTCAGTGAGCTTGTAGTGAGCATGTCTGTACAGCGCTTGAGTGTGTGTCACTGAGCTTATAATGAGCTTGTTTGTGTCAGTGAGCTTGTCTGTATTATGCTTTTGTGTGTTTAGAGAGCTTGTCTATAGTGAGCTTGTGTGTGTCAGTGAGCATGTAGTGAGCCAGTGTGTCAGTGAGCTTGAGTGTGTCAGTGAGTTTTTAGTGAGCTTATATGTGTGAGCCTGTGTCAGTGACCATGTCTGTAGTGAGCTTATGTGTGTGAGCCTGTGTGTGTGTCAGTGAGCTTGTAGTGAGCTTATGTGTGTGTGAGCCTCTGTGTGTGTCAGTGAGCTTGTAGTGAGCTTGTGTGTTTCAGTGCGTTTGTAGTGAGCTTATGTGTGTGTCAGTGAGCTTGTAGTGAGCTTTTGTGTGTGTGTGTGAGCTTGTGTGTGTCAGTGAGCATGTCTGTACTGTGCTTGAGTGTGTGTCAGTGAGATTATAGGGATATTGTGTATGTCAGTGAGCATGTCTGTAGTGAGCTTGTGTGTCAGATGAGCTTGTCTGTATTTGTGTCAGTGAGCATGTCTGTAGCGTGCTTGTCTGTAGTGAGCTTGTATGTGTGTCATTGAGCTTGTCTTTAGTGAGCTTGTGTGTATCTGTGATCTTGACTTGAGTTAGCTTGTTTGTGTCAGCGAGCTTGTCTGTAGTGAAGTTGTGTATGAGTAAGAGTACTTGTGTGTGTTGTTGAGCTTGTCTGTAGTGAGCTTGTGTGTGTCAGCCTGGAGGGTGGGTATTACCGCACTGTAATAACTATGGATCATATGGAGTGAGGGACTGCGGGTCAGAAACAATATAACAGCCTCCAAAGCACATTGAGATAAAAAACACAAACACTCTGTGGCCCGATGAATTATAAGGCTGGAATATTTTTTTCCAGGGCTGCTTTCTGTTCCCAGTCCAGCCCTCATTGGAAGTGCTTCAGACTAGGTTTTTTTGCCTTCTTTTGGATCAACAACAAAAACATATGTGAGGAAGGCTGAACTTGATGGACACAAGTCTCTTTTCAGCTATGTAACTATATAACTAAGATCACTTTTTTAAAATTATATAAAGAACCGTAAACATATTTAAATGCCTCTCCAATTCTCTTAGGATATAAAAGAATTGTATTACCTGTTTTATTTTTACTAATCTGATTCTTATTTTTTTGCCATCAACATTTTATTGATTTTCAGAAAATATAAACACATACAGAGAAGGACATACGTAAAAGAAAAGCAGATAATCATGGCAGTAGTATACAAAGTCAGAGGACTGTTGTGAAATAGCGCACAAAATAAACCTTTACAATGACCATTGATTTGTACAGACCCATATTCCATCGACACTCTGGAGCGCCATATACATCACAACAATGTTGCGGCTTAATCAGAGTCACAAAAAAAAGCATGCATTCCTCAGGATGTTGAGGGAGGTACAGAAAAGAAAATTGGGTGGGGGAGTAACTTCATGTGTGTCCAAAAACCGAGTCCACTCTGTCTCTGTGTGGTTCGGTACCAATGTTTGGTCTTTTCTGTAGGCATTTTCAGAGATGTAGAAAGGGAAATGGATCAGCGCTGCGTGATATACTAGGAGGTTAGAAACAAGTAAAAAAAATCCACTGGAATTTATTATAAGCACACCAAGTATTTGGACTATTTATTATACTTTGTTCCTATTTTATAGTTTTTAGTGTATTAAAATATTTTTTATTTATTTGTTACAGCGCGACCTATATTTCTTCTGTTTTTGCCATTTTCAGAGATGTACCATGATGACGCATGTGGCTTATACTTATATCGAATGTCTGGTTTATTTTCTCATTCCCTTGTGTCTGAAACCGACCTGTCTCACACCCACAGTAGAACCGCCATTTTTCGAATTGTGTAGGAGAGAACATTGACAAACGCTCATAGACATAAAAAAGGGTAATCTTTTCAAATAATAGAGAGTTGGTAGGGCATACTGGATTTTTCCAGTGAGTTGTGATTACATTTCTCACTGCAAACATTATTAGGGCTAACACTTGTTTAGTAGGTGTGGGAATTCGGTGCGGGAAAAGAAGAAAAAAAACAGATGCCTACAGACATTTGCATGTTTGCGAGTTTCAGATTTGCAATCAGTTCCATTAATCTGTCTCATAAGGGTTGCAAGGCCGGCAGTCCCATCAAATGTGGATCATGGTACCTTCAGCAGGTGTTGGTGACAGTGGGGAACATTCTGCAGGGCTGACTAGGGGTGTAGTACCATCTATAGATTAACTTAATTTGTGCCTCAACATGAGAGTAGCATTGGATGAGGACTTTAAGAGCATTGGCTTACTTTAACTAGTCTTGTGCTAGTGCCTGGTTAGTTTCTAAACACCAAGGTTTGATGAATGGGAGATGTATATTAAAGGAGTTGTCCATCAATGTTTTATAACTCATTTCGGCATCCTGAGCTCTCTCCAGCAACAATCATATATAACATGAATGTGAGACATCTGGGGTACCAAGAGATCGTTAGTGAGTTGCACTTGTAAATTGACTGTGCTTTTCATTTGCAAATAGTGGAATATAAAAAAAAGAGTTATGCAGGTTGTGGGTCTCCTGGAAAGGTTTGATGGAACCCAGATGGCACAGGTCATCTCTTCATACATAATCTTTACCAGGACTGCAGAAGCAGCTTGGGCGATAATGCTTTAAGTGTTGTCAGTGGCGCCTGTTTGTGGAATTTGTGACATCCTTCAAGTTGTTTTTTTTATAGAGTTGGTCCCAATACAGTAAAGAGAGAATTTGGATGGGAAGAGCTGTGTTTCTTTTGATCTTAGGTGGGGGGGAGGAGGTCCAAAGGTGTTTTAACAGAAAGCTCCCTAGGGCATGCAAGCTCTCCATATCTCCCAACTGTATAGTGTTTTTGGGTGCATGCAATTTGATTGTTGCCACTAGCAAGGATGCTTTGTAGTAGTTAAGTATACTAGGAAGACCTATGTCAGCCTGGTGTGGGTGCCTCTGGAGAAGAGCCAGAAAGAGTCGGGTCTACATGAATCCCAAACAAATTAAAGGGGGACAGCCCTGTCCATAACCGCTGAAAATCCACATTTAAGACCTTGGCTGTGGTTGAGTTGTATAGGACTAAAATTCCCAAGATAAATAGTTGTGGGAACCCATTTTTGAGTAAGACCCGTTCCATGTACTGCCAAATGACTCTGCCGAAGGCCAGTGTTAAGAGAAGGCCCTCGCTCTTAGTAGAACGCATGTGGGAGATAATGTTTAGTATCTTTCTAGTGTTGTCTGATCCTATACTGCAAAACAAACTAAAAGAAATTGGAATACCCATCTGGTCCCAGGACTTTATGTGCTGGGATGGTTTTTGTGACAAACTCCTCTTTTTAGGGAGTTTCCCATGAGTTTTTGGAGGGGACTACTTGCCAGCCTCCTGCCCCAAGACTATGGGCTCTGCTAAAAGACATGCTAAAAAGTATATTTGGGCTTATTGGATTTTAAAACACTTTGTCCGCCCCTTTAAATCCATGGGAGAATGTGCCTCTTTCCCTACCCCTTTTTCCTGTCCTATTGTTCTCCAGCAGGGCGTTGTCCCAGGGACACTGCCAGACCAGTTGAAACTAGTTGCTTTGTCCCTCCTCAATCTCCCATCAGCCCTTGCTATTTTCTGACCTCACCCTTTCTTGTACTATAGGGCACTTTCAGCTATCTGGGGATGTGTTAAACATTGTATTATAAGAGTTATGTATTTTTATGTGGTTTTTGTAACAGTTTTTGACTTAGAGATATTTCCTGTTACTGGAGATAATTAAGTTGCCACTTAAGCCAATTATCTCCAGGACCGGCCGCACAGCCTAAATCTGTGGAACTGTTTTGGGCATGAAAGCCATGCTTGCAGTCGGCCAAATGTGACTTCCATAAAACAATTGGACCCCTGCTCTGACATGGGTGATTTTTGGATATGGTGTTCACCCAGATCAGGGCTATCCAGTGATGTATAATAAATATATATATATATATATATATAATATTTGTGCGGATATGTTGTTGTTTTGGGTTGATTCTGGACTTTGGGTAAACCTGAATATTTTCTGCATGTGGTAATTGAGTTAGTCCATTGTGTTTGGTAATTGTATCACAGGCAGATGGGGAGAGTTTGTGTACAGGGAGTGTTCAAATATAAAACTCTGTTTTGTATTGGTTTGTGAGTTTCATGTCCTGTGCCCCACAAGGTCCATGTGGGCGGTAACCTTGTGGGGAAATACTGTATAAAAGAAGCAGCTGCATCATTAAACCTTCAGTTCTACTTCACCCTCAATTTAGAGTCCTGTCTCTTATTGGGGGAAACAGCTACAAGGAATTTCTATGCTCTTCATACTCCCTTGGATAATCACTAAGCTCTTGTAAGAGCTTGTTTCTGCTTCACTCTCTGGGGAAAGAGAGGTTCACCCACTGGAACCTGGAGCCTTGTCGTAGGTAGGAGACAGCGAGACCCCAACCAAGCTGTGGCGGTTCATGGGTTCTGCGGTGCTTGTGGTGTGAAGTGGAGTGCTTGGAGCCCTCGGGAAGCACTAGAAGCATCCATCAATGGAGGTACCCAGTCGGGGTGCCAGGTGATCCGTTACAGTTTTGATTGCATCATCAATTTCAAGGTGGCTAAAGGGTTCAGTGATTTAGTCAGGTCATCTTGAGTCAGCTGTGGTATAGTATCAATGACTGTATGGCTTCTAAGGGAGGTGAAGTGGTGTGAGGGTCATTGTTTAGGTTGTACAAAGTACCATAATATGTGGCAAAATTGTCTATGATATGTTGTGGGTTTAAGATCTTGCCTCGCCTGGTGGATTGCACATACGCAATTTTTGTGTGGGCCATTTGAGATTTCAATTTTGAGGCTAGTTGTGAACCTGCTCTGTTACCTTACAGGGAAAAAAATGCATGTTTACATTTTGTGAGCATGTACATGGTGTTCATTAGTTCTATTTCTTTCAGTTTGCTTTGCAGTATTCTGAGTTTATTTTGGGTAGCTGGGGATGGGTTGTGTAGGTCCTTATGAGTCAAGTCATTGAGTTTTTGAATATTCATCTAGGTCAAGTTTTTTTTGTGTGTGTAACTGGCTGCCTTGAAAATTCTGCCCCTAATGACAGATTTATGGGCTTGCCATACTGTATTTATGCTAGTGTCCTCAATGATTACATCCCCAATAAAGGTTGTTTGGTTGTTGTGAAGACCATAAATATTGATATGGGTATACGGTTCATTGTTAATATAGCATTGGAGGAGTATATATCTGCCTTTTCTATCCCCAACTTTCTTGATAAGAGTAAAGGAGACAGCTCTGCTGATCAGCATGGAACCACCTTTTTTCTTTTTCTTAAAATGGCATTTAAAATGGGTCTTCTGAAAAGAGTTCATGTCAATCTGTAGAGCTCAAGAGACACATTAACATTAGAGTGCCACAGAGCATGGTACAGCACATTTCTTGAACTGCTAGGCTGCAATGCTTAGTCTGCATAACTCCAAATGCAGAGCCAGCATGATTCAAACACAGCCCTGGCCAATCAATGAATTGAATCAATGAATCTCTATGAGGAAAGTTCAGTGTCTGCATGAAGAGGAAGGAGACACTGAATGTTTGGATGCATTTTAGGCAGCCATGACCCAGGAAGGATCTCTAACAGCCATCTGAGGAGTGGCCAGTGAAGTTATCAGGCTGTAATGTAAACACTGCATTTTCTCTGAAAAGACAGTGTTTACAGCAAAAAGCCTGAAGATAATGATTCTACATACCAGAACAAATTCAATAGGCTGTAGTTCTTCTGGTGACTATAGTGTCCCTTTAATATACATGAACTGACGAAGAATAAAAAAATAAAAATAAAAAAAAATTAAAAATTATATAATGTATTCTGAATAAAAGAACAAAGGTGAGATATTGGCAAGTCATGGGTATTGATACAACAACTGGTGAGGGGTTGTCTATCAACAGAGCTGTCTGCCTTCTGACCTATAAAGATATACTTCACAAGTTATGCACGATAACAATACAAATGATATCACTATCCACATGATGAAATGGTAGACCATACAGTAAAACCTTAGGGAAAGAGGGAGGCCTGGTATATCCCACATCGGTATCTGTGCGGTTGTGTTTAGCATAGTGGAACGGTTGGCTGGAGGTAGTATCATATGGTGTGGACACAATGTAAAAGGTGAAAAAAAAATATATATATATAAAAAAAAAAATGAAAAAATTAACTATTTACAAAGAAACCTCCAGAGGGGGTGCAAGTATGCATAGGCAGTGAAAACATGTCTCTAGTGAGCCTGGGGAGGGTAGAAGCACCTTGCGTGGGAAAATAACTTAAACTGGGGGAGATGGAGATGAAGATTGGCCCCTTTGGTGAGTAATTCCCAGGCACAGTGTGCATCTGGTAGTATCACCAACGCAATGCTTTTGATAGCAACACATAAAGATTATTCAAAAGAACAATGTGAGGACAGTAGAGATTGAGCAACGGGCCCTCAATTGAAATGGCAATATGTGCTCGGACGACGGGTGGTCTCCGTGTGTATGCAAAAATGGCATTGGAAAAGTGGGGGAGAGTCACTTAGCTGTAGCCACAGTGTTCCAGTCAGAGGTGAATTTCGTTGGGGAAAGACAAGCCGCTTGTTTTTTCTCTGGTTCTTCAATCCGCTCCACCAGGATCTTCCACTCATGTTTCGTCTATTGACTTTGTCAGGACTTTAATGTGATAGTGCCACCATATTTGCTGTGGGTATTTAAGGGCTGGTACACACGCCCTTGCATAATGATGATTGGATACAATAGCAGTCCTGATTTGCATAATTAGTTAACAAGTCACCGCAGTTTGTCAAACCTTTATTATTATTATTATTATTATTATTATTATTATTATTGCCATTTATATAGCGCCAACAGATTCCGTAGCACTTTACAATATTATGAAAGGGGATTTAACTATAAATAGGACAATTACAAATAAACTTACAAGAACAATAGGTTGAAGAGGACCCTGCTCAATCGAGCTTACATTCTATAGGAGGTGGGGTGTAAAACACATTAGGACAGGAATGTGCAATCAAATAAGGTGGGCTGCCCTTTAGGACAGGGTATGTGAGGTAGGGGTTAGTCTTGGAGGCCATAAGCTTTCCTAAAGAGATGGGTTTTAAGGCACTTCTTAAAAGATGCAAGACTAGGGGAGAGTCGGATGGCGGTAGGCAGGCTATTCCATAGGAAGGGAGCCGCCCGCGAGAAGTCCTGCAAGCGCGAGTTGGCCGTACGGGTGCGGACAACGGACAGGAGGTGGTCACGGGCAGAGCGGAGAGACCGAGAAGGGACATACCTGTGGATCAGTGAGGAGATATAAGAGGGGCTAGAGTTGTTCAGTGCTTTATAGGTGTGAGTTAGTGCCTTGAATTGACTTCTATAGCACACAGGAATCCAATGTAAGGACTGGCAGAGCGGTGAGGTGTGAGAGAGCCGACTAGAGAGGAAAATCAGTCTAGCAGCAGCATTCATTACAGACTGTAGGGGTGCAGTACGGCTTTCTGGGAAGACCAAGCAGGAGAGGGTTACAATAGTCCATGCATGAAATTATTAGAGCATGGACAAGCTCCTTGGTAGTATCTGGTGCAAGAAAAGGGCGGATGCGGGCTATGTTTTTAAGATGGAATCTACAGGATTTGGCAACATGCAGGATGTGAGGCTCAAAGGTGAGACCAGAGTCAAGTATGACGCCAAGACAGCGCGCTTGCAAGGATGGGCTGATGTTGGTACCACAAACTTGAAGGGAGAGCGAGAGAGGAGGATCAGTATTAGGAGGAGGAAAGACAAGGAGCTCAGTTTTTGAGAGATTGAGTTTCAGAAAGCGGGAGGACATCCAGTCAGAGATGGAAGAAAGGCAAGCAGTGACACGTTGCAGGACAGCAGGGGAGAGGTCCGGGGAGGAAAGATATAGCTGGGTGTCATCAGCATACAGGTGGTAGTGGAAACCAAATGAGGTAATAAGTTTGCCAAGAGAGGCAGTGTAAAGAGAAAATAGAAGGGGACCAAGGACGATGCCTTGGGGGACTCCAACCGAGACAGGGCGAGGGGAGGAGGTATCATTAGAAAAAGAGACACTGAATGAGCATTGGGAGAGATAAGAGGAAAACCACGAGAGGACAGAGTCACAGAGACCAAGCAATTGCAGAGTTTGACGAAGGAGAGCATGATCAACGGTGTCAAAAGCCGCTGAGAGGTCAAGGAGAATTAGTATGGAGTAGTGGCCTTTGGATTTAGCTGCGATTAGGTCGTTAGTAACTTTGATAAGGGCAGTCTCTGTAGAGTGGAGAGGGCGGAAGCCAGATTGAAGGGGGTCAAGGAGAGAGTTGGAATTGAGGAAATGAGACACACGGGTAAAGACGAGTCTTTCCAGAAGCTTTGAGGAAAAAGGGAGCAGGGATATGGGACGGTAGTTAGAGGGGGTGGATGGGTCAAGGGATGGTTTTTTTAGTATAGGTACTACAGTGGCATGTTTAAGGTCAGCAGGGACGATGCCAGAGGAGAGCGAGCGGTTGAAGATGTGTGTTAGAGAAGGCACGAGACAAGCGGAGAGAGATCAGATAAGGTGAGACGGGACAGGATCGAGCGGGCAAGTGGTGGGGCGAGAGGAGCGAAGAAGAGCAGCCACCTCTTGGTCAGTGGCTGGGGAGAATGTCTGAAGGGTAGGAAAGGCATGATCAATGTGTGATTGAGGAACAGAAAGGCAAGGAGGGGAGAATTCTTTCCTTAGCTGTTCAATTTTGTCAGTGAAGTAACATGCAAAGTTATCAGCAGTAAGGTTGGTTTGGGGGGTGGCCACAGTGGGGCGAAGAAGAGACTTAAAGGTGTCAAAGAGACGCCTGGGGTTGCGGGAACACAAACTAATGAGAGAGGAAAAATAGGACTGTTTGGCAAGGGCAAGGGCTGCACTGTATGAACACAGTATGAATCTATAATGGAGAAAGTCTGACTGGGTGCGAGACTTCCTCCAGGAGCGTTCAGCACACCGGGAGCATCTTTGCAGGTAGCGCGTTGATTTAGTATGCCACGGTTGGGGGCGGGTCCTCCTTGAGGTGCTTGCTTGGAGTGGCGCTGTAGTGTTCAAGGCAGATGTAAGAGTAGAGTTATATATGGAGATGGCCAGCTCAAAAAGCATTTGGTCTTTAAAAAAACCCCATTCTGAGCACCACAATTCTGATTACATACACAATTGATCACATGTACCTAAATTATTTTGAATTGTAGCTGCTAAAATTAAACAGAGGAAAAACATTTTAAAAAACACTTTAGTAGATAATCCACATTTATAAAAAAACATAAAATCTTATAATATACATATAGAAATATAAAAAGGTATTGAAGGATACAGAGAAAGAGATATTGTCTTCATCATATTTTCTTTTATGCCAATATTTATTTATTTTTATTTTTTTAAATTCTTTATTTTCTTTGCACATTATAACAAATCGGCTTGAAACGCCACAATAGCTGTGACAAGCATGGTATAACAATCAACATAAAACAATTACATGGCTAGTGCTTGTATTGCGCATTTTATAGTTTTATAGTCTTGTATCGTTGTGCTGCAGACCTACGTGTAGTGGAGTACGAAGTGATGTGACGAAGGCCATACCCTCGTAGGTGTGATCGGCTTGCCTTTAATGCTTGCCGGCGCTGCGGTGTCGTAGTAGTGAAACCACTCAATGTGGATAGTGCGGGTGGCAGCATTGTAAGCGTTGTGTGCTGTTCAAAAGGAGTGAGATTCGTGTCTTGCGACATGATAAGCATCGGTTGATACCCTGTAACCCTGGGTGGGGGGGGAGATGTACCAAAGGCGCTGTGGGTGCCGTGGGAGTGAAAACATTCTTCCGCCCTCATAGTGAGAGAGTGGGTGCTTAGTGGGTCGGTCTCGCTTAAACCTAAGGCATGGCCGGGCGGCAAAGAGTGACCAACATTAAGACAACATTAAAAAAAAAAAAGGAAGGAAATAAATAAAATTTTAAGTCAACTTGTGCGTTATGTCCAGTGTTATGTTCAGGAGTCCATATAGATGCGGACACAGTCCCATATTCTCCCTTCTGGTCTCCTCAGGTCGTAATCACTGCGTAGTTCACGGCATTGAGCTCTCGGGGGACAAACGGAAGAGACGTGGCGGGGTCACCCATCCCAGATGGTGCATTGGTCGGTCTTCGTCCCCCTGAAGGTAAGTAGTCCTTTCGCAGGCCCAACGTGGGCAATAGGTCGCGTGCGCCCTGCATGTCTTGAACGGTGTATTGGCTGTTTCCGTGGCTTACTTGTAGCGCATGTGGGCCCCTCCATTTATAGGTGATGGTTTGTGCGCGAAGTAGGGAAGTGAAGGGTTGGAGAGAGCAGGCGCCAGGCCATTGTGGACCGTGACAGGTCTGTATAGAATGTGAGCGACATGCCCTCAAATATGTAGGGGGACTGGGTTCTGGTTGCGTTCATCACTGCCATTTTGTCTTTGTTGCTAGTGAAACGTACTAACAGGTCCCTGGGTAGGGTACCTAAGGCTTTGGCTGGCCGTGGGAGGCGAAACATCCCCTCTAGGATTATCTGTTGGGCATGCTTAGGCGTAAGGAGGGCTGTGAGGAGCCGTCGTACAAGATGGGGCAGCTCAGCCTCTGGCGTTTCCTCTGCTATGCAGGGGATCTTCATGTTCTTGCTTCTTCTTTGGTCTTCTAGTGTGGCAAAGTGTTTTTCAAACTGTATATTCTGTCTCTGCAGCTCAGAGACCTTTTGTTGTAACTGCTGTGTTTGTTTGGCGTTCTGGTTCGCGCCATGTTCTAGGGCACCCATGCGGCCTGTCAGGCCTTGCAGGTCTGTACGTATCTGGGCCATGTCTGCCTGTAGAGTGAGCTGTACCCCAGCGAGCAGTTCTTTCAGCACCGCCGTGGTGACTGGGGTAGAATCAGCTTGTGGGGAAGATTGGCGAGGGTTCTGTGGGGCAGTTTTGGTAGCTACCTCTGGGTCTGCCGTGAAGTCGTCCGAGAGGTCGGAAGGACTCGTTTAGAAATCCTCTTACTCTCATGTAAGAAAAGAAGGCGGCCATGTCAGGGCCCATCGCGCCCCGAGCCTGCCTCCAGAGATCGCCTATGCTTGCTTGCTGCCGTGGCTTGTCGGGCTTGGGTTTCTTCGTTTTTCGACCCATTTCTGCCTCAGCAGCTTTGGCACCCGTTTTGTCTCCGGTCCGGTAGGTTTGACCGGTATTATAGGGATAATCGTGTTTTTTTCGTCCGGAGCTGTGTGCGGCCATTCAGTGCAGTAGCTTGGCTCCGCCCCGCTCTTTTATGCCAATATTTAATTATTTTAAAAATAATAAAAATCAATACAATTACTTTTAAAGGGGGAATAATCAGTTTGTTTAGTGCAATCCAATTTCTGTCCATTAACAACAATTTTAAATAAATTAGGTTTAAATTTCTCTTTATTGAAATATTTTTTTAACATTCATAAATACATAGAATTACTTTAGTTAATATATATATATATATATATATATATATATATATATATATATATATATATATATATATATATAATATATAAAAAATTGCAATTACTTAACACGTAACAAGACATACTTAAACATAGCAATCATTCATAGTTATTGGTTGGAATCTATATATTTGACAAAAGAAAAATAGTTTGAAGAAAAAAAACTTATGTTATCTATTATGATAAGGAGAATGAATATTTATTGGAAACATTCTTTAATCCATTTTTTTAATCCAATTATCAAAATGATATGTGTATTTTCTATTATTATTTAAACATGCAACTCCTCTCTCCATTTCAAGCTGGAATAACAATTGAGCTATAAACTGTTTCATATCTGGTGTGGTTATTTGTTTCCAAGTTCTTGCTATTAGTATCTTTGCCGCAATAAAGGAGTGGATGGTCAATACTAATTGGTCTCTTGGGAGTCTATCACAATTAAGATGGAGTAGACCTGCCTGTGGGCATTTTTTTACTTTAATATTGAAAAACTCCAAAAAAAGATATACTGATTGCCATAAAGTGCTAATTTTTGGGCAACCCCACCAGATATGTAACATGTCTCCCTCATGTGTTAGACATCTCCAACACAGGGAGGAATTAGATGATATCTTGGCCAACCTTGTTGGTACTAGGTACCACCTATGAAGAACTTTAAAAAAAAGTTTTGATTAAATTTAAGAAATGTATATGTTTTCTGAGTAATTTCATAGGTGAGCACAAAGTCTTATCAAATAATTTAATATTAAGATCTTTTTCCCATTGCTTTTTAGCTGTAGGGTGAATATCTGAATACACTTGTCTGATCAAATCAATAGCAATGGAACATATTGATTTAGTTTAATTTTTGTCAAAAATTCTATAAACCAAATTATTTATATTGCCTTCCTTTCTTAATAAGGACTCGTTTAGAAATCCTCTTACTCTCATGTAAGAAAAGACTTCTATGTCCGAGATATTAATTGTAGATTTGAGGATATTGAATGGCAACAATCTACTACTTTGAAGGAGATCTTTAATATAAATCTCTTTGTTAACTCTCCATTTGGAGAGATTTATATCAGGGATAACTCTTTCCAAAACCCAAACATTTGCTCCTTCAATTATTTTTTTTGATATCTTAAGAAATTTTTTTGATTCGTTGCCATTCTTCAATAAGATGGGATACAATAACAGAATTGAGTTGAATTAAATGAGTCTTATAGTTAGTTTTATTGTCTCAAATCAGAAGGGCTAGATCATTCTCTTTTATTCTAATTAATTCTATCTGATACCAAGGTTGTTTTCTAGAGTCTGAGATATGGAATTTATGAATATGGGAAATAATATTAGCGCTATATATATCTTTAATGAGTGGAAAAGCCATTCCTCATTGATTAATTTTTTTTGTTAAAATTTGGGATTTTATTCTTGGTGTTTTTCCGTTCCAAATAAAATTAGAAAGTGAATATTGAAGCATTTGAATCATATCTAACCAAGGTTTAGGAACTTTCAATGGAATCATGTTGGGGATAACATATGCTTTAATTGTGTTGACTCTTCCACACCAGGAAATTTCTAAGGGGCGCCATTCTTTTAAAGTTTTATTTGTGTATTTTATCATTTTTTTAAAAATTGGTCTCTACTATTTTTTGAGGATTTGCCGTAATAGTAATTCCTAAATATTGGAACTCTTTTTTAGTCCATTGGAAATTATATTTCTCTTGAAGAGAACCTAGCATATGAGAATTTATATTAATTGTTAAAGCAATAGTTTTATGAAGATTTATCTTATAGTTTGAAACATCTCCGTAGTTTTTAATCTCTTGCATTAAATGAGAAAGTGAAATGGCAGGATCTGTAATAGAGATCAATACGTCATCAGCGTATTGGAATATCTTTGCTTCTACTTCTTCTATTATCATACCTCTTATTCCAAAATTTTCTCTGATTGTTATGGCGAATGGTTCGATTGAGAGAACATATAACAGGGGTGATAGCGGACACCCCTGCCTCGTCCCGTTGTTAATGTCAAACCATTCTGAACATATATCATATCCTATTATTCTTGCTGATGGGCCCATATAGAGAGCTCCAATTGCAACTGCAATCCAACCTTCCAACCCAAATGCAGTCAAAACTTTATTCATATATCCCCATCCAAACCTGTTGAAGGCCTTTTCTGCATCGATCGACAGGGTCAGAAGGGGCGTCCCTGTTAATTGTGCGTATTCAAATAAATCTATGATTCTACTGGAATTATCACTGGAGTGTCGACCTTTAACAAACCCTATTTGATCTATATGTATCAATTCAGGAAGTAATAAATTAATCTTCTGGCTAATACTGAGGCATTAAAAACAATAAAAGGCTGCGCACAAAAAATAAAATAAATAAAGTCCAATTAGAATAAAATAAAATAAAAGGGGAGTTATTGATCAAGTTAGAAAACAATATTGCTACTCCCTTTTTTTTTTGATCTGATGCTTCAGCAATAATAGTGAACTTTTTAAAGTTCCAATACTGGTTATTTTGTTTATTTTGCTTCTTCCAATGGGTTTCCTGAATGAAGGAGATTTGAGCTTTTTCTTTAAGTAGAAGCTCTTTTATTTAGGGAATTGAGTCCTTGAACATTAATTGATATTAGTTTTAACATTTCTAATCATTAGTTTTATTTTATTTATTTTCCTTTTTTAATGTAATATTACAATATCCATTGTCCTTATCCTATCCAACCAAGTAATCATATAATAACATTTATTACCAAACATCAAATATTTTAAGATCTTAAAAAACATCTTACAAAAAGAAACATTGCATATTATGCAACATTTGCAAATTGGAATACAACATGACTCCAACATCAAAGTATCATATAGAGGGAGGGAGGGAGGGGGACTCTCTGGAGAGAGAGAGGAAGGAGAGAATAGGAAAAAGGAGAGAGAAAAAAATAAAATAAAAAGGACTGATCCCTATTGTCAGGCTTTCTCTATGTTTTTCTATTCGTATCATAGATACTGTTTCTTTAGAATTTAATCCTTATGATAAATATAGTAATCTTTCTATTTTAACAGTGTTATGCTTAGAGAACCAAAATCATGGATACAATTTTATGTATTAAATATCTATATAAAGTGCCATTCAAAGTTAGTTAATTAACCAAATCTCTGTGTTTTGTATTAGATATCCAACAAAAAATAATCATTTATAAATATTTCTAATAAATTGTGATTATGTATTGACCTATATCCCTCTCTAGTTAACCCTTCTGCGTTTCTTATATTAAATTTATTTGTTATTATTGTTATTATCATCGCTTAAATATTCATTAACCATATTCAAAAGAAAATTTATCAAAGTGATGTGAAGTATTTAGATTATCCTGCTTCATTGCAGCAGTAATTAATAAATAGTGATTAATATCCTAAAGTATAGACCCATTAATGTGAGTCTGGTGATATAAAAAATAAATCATGCTGTGTAAAAAGTGTTTAAATTCTGTTTCTTCACTTTCTTAATTCACGTTTTTATACTTTTTGGCTCTCTCCTGTTTCGATTACACCAATTTATATAGAAATAATGATATTTCTTTTCATAGTCTTTTCTCTGCTTCCATTTTTTTGTTTTTTCATTTCTCTTTTTCTTCTGTTTCCTTTGCCTTGATCTTTCCTTTTTCTTCTTCTTTGTTTCCTTTAATAAATTGTTCCTTATATCCTTACTATCTTCTTAAACTCTAGGTGGTCTTGCAGGATAGAAAAAAAAATAATAATAAAAAAATAAAAAAATAATAATTTATCTTCTTTCCTTCTCCTCCTCCTCACTTCCCATACTCTTCCTCCCTCTCATGAACCGTATTTTAATTGAGTTTTGATTGTATCAACCATTCATTAGCCTTTTCAAAGGTTGTAAATGTAAACCATTCATCACGATAAAGAATCTGAAGTGAGGCTGGATGTCGCCATCTAAATCTTAAGTTATATTTTGTTAAAGTTTGAAATATTGGTGAAAAGTCTCTTCTTTTAGCTCTAGTAAAATATGAAATATCTGGGATGGCAAATATTTCTCTGATTTTTTCTTCTGTTGGTCTGTTATTCTTTAATGCTGACAAGATTTGATTTTTAGTTTCAAATGAATGAAAGGCGACTATTATGTCTCTTGGGAAATTATTTTTGACGTTAGTTGGCTTAAAAATTCTATGGCATAGTGATTAATATCCTAAAGTATAGACCCATTAATGTGAGTCTGGTGATATAAAAAATAAATCATGCTGTATAAAAAGTGTTTAAATTCTGTTTCTTCACTTTCTTAATTCACGTTTTTATACTTTTTAGATCTCTCCTGTTTCGATTATACCAATTTATATAGAAATAATAATATTTCTTTTCATAGGCTTTTCTCTGCTTCCATTTTTTTGTTTTTACATTTCTCTTTTTCTTCTGTTTCCTTTGCCTTGATCTTTCCTTGTTCTTCTTCTTTGTTTCCTTTAATAAATTGTTCCTTATATCCTTACTATCTTCTAATTTTAGCTCATGGGAATCCAATAATAGATTAAGGGAAGTAAAAGTTACTTCATAAAATCTTTCAATTTATCATTTGTTATATTTTCAGGAATATTTCTGAATTTCAAATTTGTTCTTCGGGCTCGGTCTTCCAAATCAGCTATCTTGGTTTCAAGCTGGTTTACTTTCATTTCTGTTTCTTTGTGTGTGTCTTTAAGAGTTTGAATTTGGAATTCTATATGTTCTTGTTTTTCCTCGATTGTTTGAATTCGGGTTAATACCCTGGAAATAGCATTTTGGGGATCAGTAGACTTTTCCTGGATCTCTTTTAAAGTGTTATCTAAAAGCGTTTTTATTATTTCTGTAGTAACAGCAGCTGATTCTGCAGAGGAAGGAGTCATTGCAATAGAGGAATCTAGGGATGGATCATCATTGGAATCTTGAGTCTTTTGTGGAGAGAAAAAGGTGGAAAGTCTCTTTTCTTGTTTTGCCTGTTTCTGTTTCTGGAAGTGTTTAGAAGCCATTTAAAAGAGAGGGAGAGGCAGAAGTAAAAAAAAAAAAAAAAAAAAAAAAAAAAAGCTTCCCTTAGCTTTCCACTCTTTTTCTTTCTTCTCTCGTCTTTCTGTAATTCTTTTTTTTTTTTTATAATTCTTTATTTTTGATGTGCATGAGGGTAACAAGCATTCTCGCTGTGCCACAACAGCCCTAGCGAGGTAAGAGTAGACTATGATGGTAACAGTATAGGCATATTGATATAACAGTGCACATTTTGGTTTTTATGTAAGGACATAAGAGTAAATATGTTTAACATTTCGAGTGGGTTAAGAAGCATTCTATAGGTAAGCGCCACTTCAGCATATCACCAGTGTCCACACTAATCCGACAGTGGCATGGTAGGTATGTCATTCAAGTGAGGTTAAATAAAAGAGAAACAACATTTTTCCTAGAAAACAAGCGCTGATAGCATGCATCATGTAGAGCCATATACAGTTAGTCGCGTATAAAGTGTAGCTAAGAAGTAGACAGGTCTGATAAATAATGTGATGATACCTAGCCGCAATAACCAAGCGCTGTCCTGCAACTAGTTTAGCTTAAAGGGGACAGGATAAGTTACCATATCACCTGCCGTCTCTGGTGTGTGTCAGTTCTGAAGAGAAATCATAAACTTTATACAATATAGCGAATAAAAAAAAAAGCAAACAAAAAACTTATGGAAAAGGAGATTCATATGAACCCCAGAACCGTAGGTGAAATATTAGTGGGTAATGTCCCATTGGAGCCTGGGTAGTCCTGCGCCACCTCATGTTGTGGCCCCCGCATAGGCATCCGAGCGGGCCCTCTGAGGGACAAACGGGGTGACTCTAGTGGGGTCCCATGTGTGCGTCGTAGCCGTATTGCTTATGCCGTGTTGGGCGAGCGCGTCTCGTGGGAGGCCGATGGTTTCCAGCATGGCTGCCGCCTCTTTCAGGTCCCTGACCGCGTGTACCGCATCCTCTTTCAGGATGTGGAGTAGCCGCTGTGATCTCCAGCGATATGGGATAGCATGGGTGCGTAGCAGTGAGGTGAGTGGTTGGAGAGTTTTCCTCCATTTCAGGGTGTCCCCAGATAGGTCTGAGTAGAACGTGAGCGCCATGTTTTCAAAGGAGAGTGGCGAATTCCCTTTGGTTGCTGCCTGCACCGCTGCTTTCTCCCTGCTGCTGCCGAATCTAACAACCAGATCCCTGGGTGCGGTCTCGGGGGCCTTCTTAGGCTTCGGTATGCGAAAGATCCCGTCAGTCATAATGCCTTTTGCTTGCTTGGGCGTAAGTAGTGACCCTAGCAGCCTTCTCACCAGATGCGGGAGTTCCGCATCTGGGATCGCCTCTGGGACACCCCGTATCTTGAGATTCTTTCGGTGCCTGCCATCTTCCATCACTGCCAGGCGTTGTTCCAAGGTGGCTTGCTGTGCCCTGAGGGTCCCTATTTCCCCCGAGAGAGTGGCGATTGTCTGGGCTTGTTCGGCTGCTGTCGCCTCCACTGTCCCCAAGCGGCCCACCATGCCCGTTAGATCTGCCCTGAGTGATGCCATGTCGGCTTGCAAAGTGAGCTGGAGGCTGTGTAGAAGCTCCTTCAGAGTGGCATTTGTCACCGGAGCCGTGTCAGCATTCTTTGGAGCTGTCTGGGGCTGTGGCGTGAGGGGAACTCTAGTGGATCCCATCCCTAGTATTGAATCCTCTGAGGAGTCTGAGGCTGAGTATTCGTCCATATCGGCGGCCATCTTGGGCCTACCCACTCCGTGGGCCTGCCGGAGCAGATCCCCTATGTTCATGCCCGCTTTGGGCTTGTCGGGCTTTTGTTTTTTCATCTTGCGGCCCATGACCACTAGTAGCACTTGTGGTCCGGTTTGCCGGCGGTGGTAAGGGGTTTGAAATCGCCAAAATACAGCGGTGATTGTCGGAGCTCATCCGACATGCGTCCGTCTCGATCAGCAGCTTGGCCCCGCCCCCCCCTGTAATTCTTTTTAACAGTTTAATTCCTTTCAGCACTTGATCTCTCTATTCTTAATAAATCCGTTTTAACGGTTGTCAGAATTATATGAGGAGCACCCGTTAAAATAAATTAAATGCATTAGGCACATTGGGACAGACTTAAAAGTATGGTATATATGGCTATTCAACATAAAGTTCAAAATCATTGTGCTTAAACCATATGGAATAAGACTATTCAGCTTGAAGATCTATCTTATTTCTGTCTGTCCCAATTTTTTATTTTTTTTTTATAAAAAAGAGAATAAGATGAGGGCAATTTCTCTTTCTCTGTATCCTTCAATACATTTATGTATTTCTATATCTATATTATGATAAGATTTGATATATTTTTCATAAGTGTGGATTATCTACCAAAGTGTTTTTTTTCCCATTTTTTTCCCCTCTGTTTAATTTTAGCAGCTACAATAAAAAAAAAAAAAAAAAATGTAGATACCTATGATTAATTGTATATGTAATCAGAATTGTAGTGCTAAGAATAGGTTTTCAAGACCAAATGCTTTATTGGCTAATGTCACAAGCGTGGGCTATAGGCCGAGCTGAGACAGTGGGGAGAGTGTGGAAGTGACAGGGTTAATGACACCAGACCCCTGGTTACCCCAGCAACCACTCCATTAACCCCTGCAATCCCTTCTACACTAACCCCCTAGTGCACACTTTACTGCCACCACCAAGACTTTAAACCTGGGTGTCTTAGGTTACCCCACACACAGGAAAATTATAGAATCACAGTTCTACTTTTACTGATCAAACACATATAATTAACCCTTTTTGGTAACGTGTTTACCTGAGCTTTCCTCTGGAGAGTGAAGCTCATAGAGAACAGAGACACAAGCTGATTAAGTAAACATTTCATCTGACAAAAAAGATTCACAGTGCAAAATACAGAAATAAATGACATACAGATAACAAATTGCAAAACAGTACATAAAATAAAATAGGAGAAAACACAAGAAATTCCTTACATATATCTACCCCATGTAGAATTCTGGTGGGAGTCTTAGATGGTATAGGTATCCTAGAAGTTGCTGACCAAAGAAAAAATGAATAACTCCCTGGATAGTCCAGCACCCTCATTACATACCTAAACTAGTTGTTTCTCAGTGGGCAGACCAATGGGGGGGGGGGGAAGGGAGAGATCAGAGGGGCTGGTCTGGCAGTTTAGTGCCCACTCTATGCAATTCCTTGTGTCCAGCTCTGGTGATGGCTATCTAGATGTTTTATGGTCTAGGCCTGGTGCAAGATGAAAGACCACAATAAATGTCATCCCAAGGTTTACAAAAAAAAACAACTCTTAACATATATCAACATACATCAAACACCAACTCATGCTTTTGGCATGACAGCTAAAAAAAAGTTTGAGAAACTGCAGTGACTTGTTAACTAAAAATACAAATGGAGACTTGCAAATTAATTATGCAAATCAGGACTGCTATCATATCCAATCATCCCTATGCAAGGGCATGTTTACCAGCCCTTAAAAACCCACAACAAACATTGTGGAACTATCACATTAACCCCTTAAGGACGCTGGGCGGAAATTTTCCGTCATTGCAACACTCCCCTTAAGGACGCTGGATGGAAAATTTCCGTCCAAAACTAAAATTAACACTAGATTGCGCAATCATGGGGTTAATGATCCTGTAGTGTGTCTTCGTATCGGAGACACACTACCATTGGCAGATTCACTGAATCAGCCCATGTGATTACCCTGAGCGGGAGTCAGAGTGATCACACGTGCTGCAGTGAAACCCGATCTGTTTCCCTACAGCTCCGTGTGAGCTGTGAAGTGCAGAGAGACAGATCGGTGCTGATCTGTCTCTCCCTGTAAAACAAATAAAAAAATAAAGTGTTACCAATAAAATCCCACCCCCGTCGCCTCTTTCAAATAAAATCTAACCCCTTCCCTGCCCTTTGATCACTGTCTGTAGTGATCAAAATATAGATAATAGTATTTCAATGTGAACTGATTTTTTCTTTTGACCCCTGAGGTTTAACTTTTATTTTTTTTTAATCCTCAGAGATTAAATTTATTTAGTTAGTTACTTAAATACTTGTAAAATATTTATTTATTCAGCTAGGGTGGGTAGAAGTTAGTGGGAAAATTGGGGGATTTACTGTTAGGCTAGTTAGGGGTTAACAGTAAAAAAGACTTTAAAAAGAAAAAAAAATGTTTAAAAAAGGGAAAAAATGTGTATTACACCTACACTTGGTACAGGCTAGCGAAAAAATGATACCACAAGTTTAAAATATGCCTTTTGAAACACCCTGGGGTGTCTTCTTTAGGAAATGGTATGCCTTTGTGAAGTAATTGGAAAAAACAACCTATTAAAAAAATTCCAAAGTAGGGCATGGACCCAGCATAAAAATTCAAACTTAAATGGCTGTGTCTCAAATGTTCCCCTTCACCGTTGTCATAAAGGTACATATGGGGTATTGCTGTACTCAGATGACATAGCTGAGCAACATGTGATGTTTTTTACTGCTGTAGCACACATACGGTTTGCAAAATATATATTACAAACTCATTGTGTGTGTATATATTACAAACTCCTCCTCTGCAAACTCACATGTAATAAATGACTTATTTGTCCTTTTTCCTAATTGAGGTCTCTTTCCTTCATTTTCCTCAGTAAATACTGAAGAAAAATATTAATTGAGGCAGTCAGCTAGACCTTTATCCTCATCTACTGTTGCGGAGCTGCAATTTTATAATCCCAGGATCTCTGCTGGTAGAATGCAATAACCAAGTACAAAGCTGGAAGCAGGCAATATTCCCAAATCCTCCCAAGAACCAGACGAAACACAGTCTGAGAGTCAACTGCCACTTTATTCAAAAAGACTGATATTTAAAGCAGGTCACTCAACTGTCACTTTATTGAAAAATAACTGATATTTAAAGCAGGTCACTCAACAGGGGTTTCCAAAGATGGGCAGCAGGGGTTTTGGTTGAGGGGACTGGAGGGAGACTACCGTTTCCAGGTCCTCCTCCCAACAGCCCCTGCTGTAACATACAGTAATGAAAACTACAAGG